TGAAAATGAAGGGTTTTTCTTTATAGGAGAACTTCACATTCCTTCATAAAAGGAATTAGTATAGCAATAAGACTAAAAATTAACTTAGAAACTTTTCAAATATTTAAGAAATCTCCATGAATTTATTTGCCTTAGAGATAAGAAGAGAGGAATTTTAGATCCAAGGAGATGAGTAAATTTAGGACTCCACAGCATATGAAATGTGAAAATTTCTACTTAAAATATAATCACAGCAAGGAAAATAATTGTCTTTCCTGTAAGCCAATGTATTTAGTCTTTTGAATGTAGTGTTTTGCATATGTTAGTTTTATTGGTTTGTATTTGCTGAATGAAATAATGAATGGATGACCGGATTACATTTTTATTACTATTTTATTGTGTTGTAGGTGATATTTACAGAGTGAATTAAATTCCCATTTAACAATTTTTATACTAATTGTGTTTAGACATTGTTACAGTTTTCAGTTTCAGCATTCTCATTGCTTCCATTTAGTTTTTCAGTTGCCATTCCCTAGCTTCCCTGTCCCTCCTTATCTTCTCATCTTTGCTATAAGGTCAATGTTGGAAGTTTGGTCTTATATAATTGAATATTTAAGGGACTACAGTACTCACATGTAATACTCTTTCTTTTACAAGCCATTCTATAACTTAATTAAAATGTGACGCCCGGTAGCAGCTTTAGCTTTATTTAGTTCCAACTTAAAAAGGGCATTTACAATAATCTCAGAGTTCCTCTAGTCTTCATTGATTCAACACATCTGGACCTTTTTTCAGCAATTTGATTTTTGTGCTACATTCGCCCCACCCCCATTTTATCTAGGATATTCTATTTTGTCCATGTTTAGAACAGTTGCTAGTGATAACTAGCCACTATCCAGTTCTTATGAGTTAGGTTATATCTTGGGGAACACATTTGTAAGTATATACAACTACCAGCTGTTCCGCAGGAGAAAGATGAGGCGTTCTACTCCTGTAAAGATTCACTGCCTTGCAAACCCTGTGCAGGGTCACTATGAGTCGGAACGGAAGCCGCACGTCACACAGCCACCCACAAATACACACAGGTTTTGCACATGTGTATTTACCTTTGTTGTAAATATATCTATGAATGTGGAGGAACATACTAAGCACTTTGAGGCAATGAGTTTCTGCGCTTTGGGTCTCAGGACTATGGTCTTGGGGCGGGGGTCACCAAGATTAATTTGCATAACATAGTCCATAACGATAAGTTTCTGCATTTTACTTTTGTAAGTGAAAACCTCATGACTGACTATCTAAGATGCAACTGTTGGTTTCTCCCTATCAGTAGGAAAGAGGAGCGAAGAAAATCAAAGACTTGTAGAAACAGTCTAATGAACTAATAAATCATGCAAACAGTTTTCATTACACTGAAACTAGAAGAAATAGATGTTTCCATGCTACTACTACCAACTAATCTGAAAAGCTTTACATTAGAAGGTCTTGGATATAGTGGGAGAAAAATGTGAAACCAATCAGGCTTATTGGTCATATAGACTGGTGGAACCCCTCAGGTTATGACCCTTAATTACTCTTTAGGTCTGTAAGTTAACTCACAGCATTGCTTATTTTTCATTCAAACAGTCGGTCTATAAGAGGAACAATTGTTGTTGCTGTTAGGTGCCATCGAGTCGGTACTGACCCATAGTGACCTTATGCACAGCAGAATGAAACACTGCCAGATCCTGGGCCAATCTCACTATTGTTGCCATGCTTCAGTCCATCAATGCTGCCACTTGACCAATCCACCTCATTGGGGGTCTTCCTCTTTTCTTCTGACCCTCCACTGCACGTCTACCCGATCCACCATCTTGATTGTATTCAAGAGGAACAATAACAGTAGGGAAATGTGCACAACTTAGAATATTCAAACATTGATATCAAGAGAACAGCATTTATCAGGGAGAAAATTCAGAAGAAGGCATGGAAACATGAAATACAGGAAGGAAGTGTGATAAATGATGTTATATTGTAGAGATTGCAATCAATTACATGAAACAAAAAGTTTTCCATTCTTGTTGAATGGAAAAACAAGAACAAATTTTCAAAATATTCATAAGAACAGGAATGTAAGTCTAGATATGGGAAAGCTGTGTTTCTGAGGACTTCTCCAGGGACTGGGTCTTCCTGATAATATGTCCAAAGTATGAAAGATGAAGCCACACAATCTTTACTTCTTAGGAGCATTCTGGCCGTATTTCTTCCAACACAGATGTGTTTCTTTTTCTCACAGTCCATGGGATTTGTAATAGTCTTCACCAACACCAAAATCAAATGCATCAGTTCTGTTACAAATTCACTGTCCAACTTTCACATGCATATGAGGTGTTTGAAAACACCATGGGTAGACTCAGGTATATGTTACTCCTCAAAGTGACGTCTTTGCTGTTTTGCAGCAGATTTGACTAATGCAACATGTCATTTGATTTCTTCACTGCTGCTTCCATGAGTGCTAGTTATGGATTCAAGCAAAACGTAGTCATTGACAGCTTGAATCTTTTCTCCATTTATCATGATGTTATATATTGATGGTTGTGAGGATTTGTGTTTTCTTTATACCGAGGTGCAACCCATATTGAAGGTTACTATAATCTTTGATCTTCATCATTGATTACTTCAAGTCCGCTTCACTTCCAAATGCAAGGTTAAATTATCTGCATATCAAGGTTGCTAATGAGTTTTCTTCTAATCTTGATACTATGTTCTTCTTTATAAATTCCAGATTCTCAAATTATGTGCTCAGCATACAGGTTGAATAAGTATGATGAAAGGATACAATCCTGGAGTATACTTTTCTTCATATTAAAACATTCAGTTATCCCCTTGTTCTGTTCTGATAATTGCCTCTTGTTCTAAGTACAATTAATGATCACAATTCAGTGTTTTGGAATACCCATTTTTTCCCCAATGTTATCCATAGTTTTTTCATGATCCACACAGTTGAAAAAAAAATTTCTGGTCAGTGAAGCACAATAAACAACTCTCTGGTATTCTCTGATTTCAGCCAAGACCTGTTTGACATAGCAATGCTATCCCTAGTTTACATCTCTTCTGAATCTGGCTTGAATTTCTGGCAGTTTCCTGTCAATGTACTGTTGCAATCATTTTTTAAATTTTTTTAAGCAAAATTTTACTTGGTATTGTTTTATGCTTTCCACAGTCTGTTGTGCCACCTCTCTTTAGAATGGGCACAGATATGGATCTCTTCCAATTCATTGGTCAGGTAGATATCTTCTATATTTCTTGGCATGGTTTTATACACTCATCTACTTCAAGGACTGCATCAGTTGGATGAAGATTTCAATTTATATTCCATGAATTCCTGGATCCTTGTTGTTTTTTGTTTTTATGCCAATGCCTTCAGTGCTGATGAATATTCAGAGATTTTTCTTCAAGCTTAGTAATTCACCTTTCCATTAATTCAATTCTGTTTCATTGTCCATTCAGTGTATCATCTATTTCTGACATGTTAATGTCAATCTTCTTGCTTTCTCATTACCATTTTTGTATGGTTCCCATTTTTTTCAATTATTATAAAAGTTTGTTTCCTGAATTTTTCCATAGTTTTGCCAATTTCCCTTGATTTCATCTATAGTTTTTTGACCTTCTGCACAATTCATTGACGTTGCCTAATTAACATTTTTCTAAATTCCTTTTCAATTTCCAGTGTTATATTCTCTGACTCTTTATTTTTTCACATATTGTGACATTCTGTCTTGTTTCCTTTGTATAAATTGAAATTGCCTGTTTTCTCTGAGGCATTGTGGTATCGTATTTATAATTAGATGGTGATTGTTTATCCATATATTATCAGTCACTTTCCACAGTGGATGTGGTACAGATCATATGATTGTCCAATTCAAAATGGCCAGTTTCAGCTTACAAATATCACTAAAATATCTACCTGTATGGCTTCCATTTCAGCTTACAAATATCACTAAAATATCTACCTGTATGGCTTCCATTTCATTTACTATTCCTAGATTCAGACTTCAAACATGTCACAAACTGATTTCTAATGGATGTTTGAAGCTGTTGCTTCTCATTTTGAGTTATACCCCATCAGCAAATAAAGGTCTTGAAAACTTTCTTCCATCTGCATCATTAAGGTCAACTCAAAAGAAGCAACTCTTCTCCTGTCCTCTTTTGAGTGTCTTCCAATCTGAGGAGCTCATCTTGTTGCACTATAACAGGCAGTGTCCCACTGCTATTCATAAAATTTTCATTGGCTAACCCTTTGGAAGTGACCTGCCTTTCCTTCTTTCTAATCTGCCTTAGCCTGGAAACTCTGCTGAATCCTGTCCACTATGAGTGGCCCAGCTGGTATGTAAAAGGCCTGTGACATAGTTTCGAGCATCACCGCAAAACACAAAGCATCACAGGATAGCAAACTGACTGGCAAGTGGTGGTGGTATCCCATGGAACAGCTGGTAGTTTCAAACTGCTGACCTTAAGGTTTGCAGCCTGATTTGTAACCACTATACTACCAGAGCTTCTTGACTGATAAGTGGTAGTTTCTCTCATTGTTGTTGTTGTTGTTAAGTGCCGTTGAGTCAGTTCCTACCCATAGCGACCCTGTACAGGGTTTCCGAGGGTGTAAAATCTTTACGGGAGTAGAAAGCCTCATCTTTCTCCCGTGGAGCGGCTGGTAGTTTCGAACCGCTGACCTTAAGGTTCACAGCCCAGTTCGTAACCACTACGCTACCAGAGCCCCTTAGTTTCTCTCATTAATAGACTTTAAAATAGAGAAAAAAAAAAAATCATTCAGGCTTTTTGTTTATGAATCAAATGTTATCAGAGAAGATAATATTTATCAGGTGCATGTTTTATAAACTGGGACCTTTGCTTTGGGGGAGAAAGGGAGAAAGTCCTGCAGATATATACACCTGTATGCTGGCGATTTTCAATAAAAAAAAATGAACACTAGACATTCATTCGGATTTTCATTGCAGTCCTGGAGTTGTGGTGCTCTAAGATAAACACTGAGCTGCTAACTGAACAGTTGGTGGTTCAAACCCACAAGCCACTCCTTGGAAACCATACACAGGGTCGCTATGAGTCAAAACCATATCAAGAGAACTTAACAACCACAACAACATTGTTTTTTAGAACTTCTTCTACTACATAACATCTCCCCTAAACATTTACAAATATATTCACGTTAAGGGAAGCTGTGTTAAGTACCATCAGTTCGATTCTGACACATAGTGACCCTGAATAGGGTTTCTGACGAACAGTTGGTGGAATTGAACTGTGGACACTGTGGTTCACAGTCCAGTGTTGATCCTACAGTGCCACACCAAGAGTTGAAGGGAAAATCAGTTAATTTGGTATACAATGACTGGTAGTTTCAAACTGCTGACTTTAAGGTTAGCAGCCCAACTTGAAACCACTATGCTACCAGAGCCTCTTATTTAACTTCATAGGTATCTTTTTATCTACCTGAATTATATCCTGTCTCTCCAACTCCCTGGTTAGTTACCTAATCCAAAAATTGACTTTGAGGTCTCAGGTGTAACAGAAGCCACTCAGCAGTTACAATACCCAAAAGACCCGAGATATATCCTGGGTTGTCTTTTATAGATATTGATATAAAATACAGACATAGCTGTGTGTGGATGTGTGCATGTATTCTTGAATGTATGTGTGTATCTATTTGTCTATCAGTCTATCTATCTATCTATCTATCTATCTATCTATCTATCTATCTATCCATCCATCTATCTATCTATATTCTGAGTTCTTACAAGCCATTCATGACTTCTTAGCCGATACCATCCTTGGAGGTTCTAAGAGGAAATTCAAGCTTTACCCTCTTAAGTTCTCAATTTATTAGAAAACCATGCATCTGAAAGGTAATTAGGATAGTTTAATAGTTCAGTCTGTGGATTCTAGAGTTAGATTCCCTTAGCATAAAAACAGATTTTGCACACTCATTAGTAATGTGATCTTGGGAAAGGTAATTCTTCAGTACCAGAGTTTCCTAAAAGAGGAATAATAACAAATGCTTCCTTATATTGTAGTTGTGACCATTAAACTGAAGACTCTATGTAAAGAGCTTATTACAGATTTCAGGAAATGTTTTGGTACATTGTTGTTGTTTTTGTTGTTAAGTGCCATCGAGTCAGTTCCAACCCATAGCGACCCTGAGCAGGGTTTCCGAGGCTGTAAATCTTTACGGGAGCAGAAAGCCTCATCTTTCTCCCACGGAGCAACTGGTAGTTTCGAACTGCTGACCTTGTGGTTTGCAGCCTGATTCGTAACCACTATGCTACCAGAGCTCAAGCATTAATAAATGCTTGTTACTGGTATTATGATTTACTATTTTCTATATTGCCTCTTTTCTTGGCAGGTGGTACGTATTTTATTTAAATGTATTTATATTTCCTGTGTTTCTAACAACAAAAACCATGCACAACTGGGAGATAAATAAAGCAAAGTCTCAGTCTTAAGAGGCTCCCATAAAAGTGTGTTTAAACTGCCCTGCTTTTAATATATCTTTAAAAAATATCTCTTGGAGCTTTGTTTAAAGGCTGATTAATCTATTCTGCTTTTGTTTTAGACAGAGCTTTTGTCTATTCTTCCTCACCCAGATTTCTTGAGAAAGTGTGAAAGAGAGAGAATGCGTAAGATATCTAGTACCATTGTGGTGATTCTGATTCATAGTGACTATATCACTATGTAAGATAAAGATATGTTGACAATATGATAATATGTTTTCTTCATGTTAAGAGTTGGGATAATCTGGAAAAGAGCATTTCAAGTAATGAAAAGACCAAATAATAGCTATCTTGATATGCAGGGCAGTTTTCTATTATATGGTGTGGCATACCTACATTTAAAAAATATTGATTGCAGATTAGAGATCTTGGTGACTCTTTTTAGATATACTAGTATTTATGTACATAGCTGCTTTAAACTCCCTAAGAGTTTCAGTCCAGAACTTGGATGAACAAACAAGATAGTTTTTTGAAAAACTACTGCTTTGAATTGCAAACTTGTCAATTAAATTTGTTGTTTTACTATTCATTGAAGAATATATTATTAATAATTACAAATGCTCTCTAGTCTATTCCAGAGAAAGATGAGGTTTTCTAGCCCCACATAGATTTAAAGATATTTTTTTTAAAGCACTGAGAACCCTATACAAGTCAGAATCAACTTGACACCACTTAGCAACAACAATCTTTTATTAAGGATTTCTGGTATTCCTGGTGTGGCACTGTACCATCAGCATTGAACTGCAAGCCACACAGCGGGCAGTTCAAACTCCCCAGCTCTTCCTTGGAAACTCTATTCTGGGTTGCTGTGAGTGACAATTGACTCTATGGCACTTAACAACAGTAGCGTAGAAAAAGAGGAAGACCCCCTTGCCCCCACAAGTTGGAATGGCACATTGGAAGCAGCAATGGGCTCAAGCTAGCAATGACTGTGAGGCTGGTGCAGTTCCAGGCAGTGTTTCCTTCTGTTGTGCACGAAGTCGCTATGGTTGGTACCCACTCAATGGCATCTAACAACACCAGCTCCAATAGTGATTGGGTTATGAGTTGGGCTGCTAACTACAACATTAGCAGTTTAAATCTACAAACCTCATGGCCAGAGAAGGACAAGGCTTTCTGCTACCATAAAGATTTACAGTCTCAGAAACCCAATACAGGCACACCATGAGTTGGTACCGATTCCAAGGCTCATGAAACCTAACATCACCTTCAGTCTTTTACTGACTAGAAAAAGAATGAGAAAAATTACTTTTTGTTTGTTTATATTTAAGAATGCATTACTAATTTTGAATGGCAAAATTGTGTACATTATTATTTTTTGTTGTGTTCTCTCTAGCTGATTTCACTTTATGTGAAAGAATAAATCTATTCCACAGGGTTTTACTGAGTTTAATCTTTATGGGTGCAGATTGTCAGATCTATCTCATGAAGACTTATTGGATGGATTCAAACTACTAAACTCTGGTTAGCAATTAGCACTTAATTGTTGTGACTCTAGGTCTCCTCATTATATACATTCGTTGTTATTGTTGGTAAGTGATGTTGAGTAGGTTCCGATTCACAGTGATCCTGTACAGAGTTTTCAAGCAGTAGCTCATGAGTTTGAACCACCGACCTTATGGTTCAAACTGACCTTGTGGTCTAGTGCTTCATTCCTCAGTGCCACACCTGTACAGTTAGAGGTTTAAACAATATCCTAGGGTTAAGAATATTCCATTACATTAAAGAAAGGACGAAGATTTTGATCATTCACATTTACACTCTCTCACACCCCAGAGAATACAAATTGACTTAGTGAAGGGAAGTGATTAAGCCATAATCATTAATTTATTAAAATTTTATCTCTGATCATTTTATTCCTGATCTTCACTCCATTCATGACTTCATCATGTTAAAAAAAAAAAAATGCTTGGATTTGAATAGGAAGAAGGAATGAAAACTCATTTACTGCTGTTCACTCTAGTTCGTTTCTTTCTGTTTCTTATGTAACAGATTTTGGCCACCTCTCTCTAACATCCAACTACACATCCATGCAAATCACTGCTTTTCTGTTGACTGGCATCCCAGGATTAGAAGACTTCCATATGTGGATATCCGTCCCTTTCAGCTTCATGTACCTTTTGGCTGTGATAGGCAATGGCCTGGTTGTGATGGTTGTGGTATGGGACAGAAGCCTCCACGAGCCCATGTACTTATTTCTAGCAATGCTAGCACTCAATGATTTTGTACTCTGCACTGTCACAGTGCCAAAAATGCTTCTCATCTTCTGGCTAGGCCCTTCTCTATCAACATTTTCTTCCTGTCTTACACAGATGTTTTTTGTTCATGCTCTCTTTCTCTCTGAATCTGCTGTTCTTTTGGCCATGGCTTTTGATCGCTATGTGGCCATCTGTGAACCACTCCACTATGTGAATGTACTTACAAACTCACTCATTGCCAAGGTGGGTCTGGCTCTCGTGGTCCGGAGTGTGGCTGTAGTCACTCCTGGTGTCCTCCTCATTCTCCGGTTGCACTTTTGTCGAACCAACATCATCCACCACACCTATTGTGAGAACATGGGCATTGCCAAGTTGGCTTGCAATAGCATTTTTCTTAATAGCCTTTATGGGCTTACTGCTGCTCTCCTCACTACAGGGCTGGACTTTATCCTCATCTCCATTTCTTACTGGCTAATCTTGCGAACAGTATTCCAACTACCTTCAAGGGAAGCTCGGACAAAGGCTTTTGGAACTTGTGGCTCCCATATATGTGTCATCTTGATATTCTATACTCTGGCTTTCTTCTCCTTCTTTACTCATCGCTTTGGGCACCATATACCCAGGCATACTCTTATACTCCTGGCAAATCTCTACTTACTGGTGCCACCTACCATGAACCCCATTGTGTATGGGGTAAAAACCAAAGAGATAAGGATGCGAGTACTAGGACTTTGTAGCCAATTAAAATGACCTGTGGATAATTAAGCAATAAGGAACAAGAATGTTCTGCATATTTGTATGTTGTATCTGAATCTAAATACATTTGTCTGTAGAAGACCTAACTTCTGAATACAACTTAACCATATTTCCAAATATGTAGGATAAGCACTGGACTGCTAGCCATAAGACAGGCTATTCAAACCCAATAGTCATTTCTCAGAAACCCTATACATAGTGGCTATGGGTAGGAACCAACTCGGTGTCACTTAACAACAGCAACAAATCTTCCCAACATGGGTTTTACAGGTTGTTTACATAGCATTATTGAGATATCACCTAGGAATTTTGCAACATAGTAGAGTAAATAACAGTCATTGGAATTTAACTGCAACAGAATGGAAATTTTAAGTATCCTTTTTGTAATCCACAATGTCTCTTCTTTTTCAATTTTCTAAGGATAGGCCAAAATGTAAACCTAGATGACCAGGGATTGCTTCTAATCTCAGCCTCACTTTTGTATCCATGGGAAATGGATATACAAATAAAATAATAAATTCCTTAATTAATTAATGACTGTGGATTCTTTTTCATGTAGCAAACGCACTGATGTGTCCTTATATAGCATCTGCTAATGAAATGCTTCTTTTTCTTTCATCTCCAAAACCTTTGCCTTAATTTCCAGATGACATCTATTTTTTTATCTTTTTAATATCTTGGTATAATATTCTTTTGGTTACACACAATCAGAAATAACTTTCATTAAATTGGTGGTGGTTATGTGCCTTGAAATCGATTTCGACTCATAGCAACCCTGAAAAGGGTTTCTGAGGCTGTAAATCTTTATGGGAGCAGAAAGCCTCTGGTTTCTCCCACAGAACAGCCTGTAGTTTCAAACTGCTGACCCTGAGGTTAGCAGCCCGATTCATAACCACTATGCTACCAGAGCTACACAGATTAAAAAGAAGGATATGTCATGGAAGATTTCTGAGTTATATCATGGAATCCAAGGTGAGCTTAATTTCCCAGATCAGAAAGGACAAACACAAGAGAATGTTAGCTTCTTTAATGGAATTGGTGGCATTAAACTGTCTCAACTTTAGTGATTCTAAGACTATAAATATAAGGTGTCTCAAAAATTATTCTTATTTTGGTGGTAGAATTTATTTCAATCAACTTTTAGAAATTACAAATACATCACTTTTTAAATATAAACTCCTTGCTTTTTAATACACTTTGTCCATCTATCAACAAGCTTTCTTACTCCCTACTGAAACATGTTTTAGGCTGAGCTCCAAGCCATGAATGCACCACTGCCTTTACTTCTTCATTGAAGGTGAATCTTTGTCCTCAAAGGTTTGCTTTCAGGAGACCAAACAGATGAAAGTCCAAAAGAACAAGATCAGGAATACAGGGAGGATGTTTTAAGACCTCAAAATGAAGTTTTTGCAGTGTCAACCGTGTGGGTAGAGGTGTGCAGATGTGTAATGTCCTGCAAGATCACAATACCCTGGGTTAGCAGTCCTCTGCATTTAATCCGAAGTTTAGGCTTCAGCTCTTTAGTAATAATGTCACTGTTGACTGTTGAACCTTTTTCCTGATAGTGTTCCAGTACTAGCCCTTGAGAAACCCAGAAAACTGTAAATATCAATATTCCAGCTGATGGTTAACTTTTGAACTTTTTCTTAGTGAGTGATTGAGGATGTTTCTATTCCATACTATGATGTTTACTCTCAGGCACACAGTGATGAGTCCATGTCTTACCACCAATAATGATATATATATATATATATATATACATATATATATTTTTTTTTTTTTTAAGAAACTATTACTTTCCTTAGAATATTGGTCCAAATTTTGTTTGCAGTTTTGTGTCCAAACGCTTCTGTTTATGCTTCTGTGTGAGTTATTTGGGGACCAATCTCATAACCTTTTTAAAACCCAAATCTGTCATAGATTGTTTCATAGGCAGAGCCATGGCTGATTTGTAAATGATTTGACACATAATCCACTGTTACTCAGCTATTCAACAGAATCATTTAGCATTCATGCTGAATCATTTAACAAGTCATCAGTCTTGGATGCAGACAGATGTTTTAATGTAACCAGAGTGGGGATAATTTTTGTCTCACCCTCACATACTTGCTCCAGATAGGGTCAAATTACTAAAACTAGATTGATCCATTTTGTCCAGGGAATTGTTATTGTTTGTTGTTTTTCTCAAGTGCTGATCAGGTGACTTGTGACTCATAGTGAGCAATATGACAAAGCAGAGTGGCCCATAGAGTTTTCTAGGCTGTAATCCTTATATCAACCAGGAATCGGGTATTTGCTTCAAAAGAGATGATTGTTTGATGATGCATGGAGGGAATTATAATCATTGCAATGAAACGAAATACGATAGGATGAATTCAAAGCTAATGTTCTTCCATATAAACTATCACATAATTCACAATCAAAACTTAAAAAAAAAAAAAAACTCATTTAAAAAAAGGAAAAGACTATAAAATAAAATTTAAAGAAAAGAGAGAGAAAGATGAAATTGTGTCAAAGTTGTTGTTATTGTTGTTAGCTCCTAGGAAATGGAAAATCACAGGAGTATGCCAGAATAATGTCTATAGAACTCATTTGATTATTTCATGCAAACACATGGAAATTTCCTAATTTAACTCTGCTTATATGAACTCTTCTTATTCATTACATCTATTATATGTATATATATATATATATTTTCCCTATATAAATACTTTCATCTACATATATTCTTTTTTCACCTATAAATTGGCCTGCTATATTTCCTGTAATATGAAATTCATTTAGCCAACTAGAAAATATTCACTTCTTGATTAATGAAAGAGATAAAATGTTTTCTAATCATACAGGAGATTTTAAAAAATGTGTCATGAGCATACTATAAGTACACACATAGTCTGGTGGTTGAGTTGAATGTCTTTTATACCTAGAAATCCTGGTACTGCTATATTTCTCTTTTATAAATGCATGTGATTGTTTCTAGATTCTGTATATAACTAGAGAATTGTCCATAACACTGTTTTAAAGAAAATAAGTTGTCTATTTGAAGTTATTAGATTTAGTTGCTAAGTGAGAAAATGAAGTGTTTTGTACCTGAAGAGAAAAAAATGAGAAAATGAAGTGTTTTGTATCCAAAGAGAAGAAAATATTAAACTTTCAGATGAAGAAGATTGTGATCTTCTTTGATATTATTTTTTCTTTCTGTCATGTTTTCTTGATACTGAGGTATCGAGATTATCAGTGCATTATAAAAAAAAGATAATACCATTGTCTAATGATAACAATTAAGTTGCAAAAAGAAAATAAGTTATCAGATTGCTTATTTAATAATTACAGATTTGACAGGAAGACAGGAACTTTTCAGAAGTCAAGTACTCATGGTTTTCTTAAACAGGGTTATATATGTAACAGAGGATTCTAACCTGTAAAGCAACCTACCAAGTAGCTAGGTGCACTAGACTGCTAATGGCAAAGTCGGTAGTTCATACCTACTAGCTGCTCCTCAGGACAAACATGAGGCTTTTTGTTCCAGTAAAGATTTTCATCCTCAGAAACCTGATGCAGGGTCACTACAAGTCAGAATCAACCCCATTACTATGAGGTTTTGTGTTGTTTCATTTTGTTTTTGTTTTTGGTTTGGTTTGGTTTGGTTGGAAAGTATATCCAAATACTATTGTTATTGTAGTTGAAACAACCACCACTCATCTATAAGTTTGTCATACTCTGATGGCGTGCATGTTGCTATGAAGCTGGGAATAGATGTCATGGTATTTTAAATATCAGCAGGATCATCCATGGTGGACAGGTTTCAGAACAAAACACACTTGGAAGGAGAGGCTGACTACTTCTGAAAGTTTACCCACTGAAAACCCTATGAATCCCAGGAGAACACTGTCAGATATAGTACCAGAAGATGAAAACGGTATGAATAACAGTAGACCTTTATAAGACATAGTGCCAGTAGAAGAGTCCTTCAGGTTGGAAAGTATTAAAACAAAACAAAACAAAATAAAAACTGGGTAAGATCCACTTCCTAAAAGTAGAGATGACCATTGTTGTTGTTGTTGTTAAGTGCCGTCGAGGCGGTTCCAACCCATAGCGACCCTGTACAGGGTTTCCAAAGGCGTAAATCTTTACGGGAGTAGAAAGCCTGATCTTTCTCCTGCGGAGCAACTGGTAGTTTCGAACCGCTGACCTTAAGGTTTGCAGCCTGATTTGTAACCACTACGCTACCAGAGCTCCTAGAGATGACCATTGTGAAGCATAAATGGAGCAAAATGTTGGTGATCTCCCATTACTGATGGGGCACAACTCAAATTTAGGAGAACCAGCTGCAAATATCCACTAATAACAGGACAATTGAATCTGTGAAGTATGAACTTAGCAAAATGAAATGAAATGCATAAAAGCATTAATGAGCTGAAATGGACTGGTATTGGCCATTTTGACTCCTGCCATCCTATGATTTACTATGCAGAGAACATCAGATACAAGAGGAATAATTCTGTATTCATCATCTAAAATAACATTTGAAAATATACTTTAAAGTACAATGCAGTTTGTGATATGATAATATCATATGCCTACCAAGAAAACCAATTAAGTCATTATTTTCAAATTATTCACATTTATACACCACCCCACTAAAGCCTGTTAGTGATGAAACTGAAAAATTATACCAACTTCTTAAGTCTGAAATGAACAAGCATAAATCAGTATGTATTAATAATTACTGGCGATTGGAATGTGAAGGTTTCAAACAAAAAGAAAAGATCAGTAACTGGAGAATATGACCTTGGTGATAGAAATGATGCTAAAGATCACATAATAGAATTTTGCAAGACCAGTGATTCAATCATTGCAAATACATTTTTAAAACAACATAAAGGCAACTATGCACATGGAATTAAAATAAATCCAATTCAATACATCTATGGGAAGGGATGATGGTAAAGTTAAATAACAGCCAAGACAAGGTCAGGGGCTAACTATGGAAC